TCGAGCCCCACTTTGGGAGTAGAGCTTACTTTAAAAAAAAAATTCTCGGGGCGCCTGGGTGGCTCAGTCAGTTAAGCGTCCGACTTCGGCTCAGGTCATGATCTCGCGGTCTGTGGGTTCGAGCCCCGCATCAGGCTCTGTGCTGACAGCTCAGAGCCTGGAGCCTGTTTCAGATTCTATGCCTCCCTCTTCCTCTGACCTTCCCCTGTTCATGCTTTCTCTCTCTCTCTGCCTCAAAAATAAATAAATGTTAAAAAAATAATAAAATTTAAAAACATAAAAATAAAAAAAATTCTCTTTTGTACCTTAAGGAAAATACAGGCTCAGATATCAACTAATTGCAAAGAGTGTAGTCATGGAACACTTGGGGAAATTTAAATAGTGCCTGAATGCTTTATGATATTAATATATCGTTGAGTTTGCATATGCGTGGCAACAGTGTGTGGTCATGTTTATTTTTAATTCATTATCCTTAATTCCAGTATAGTTAACACACAGTGTTACATTAATTTCAGGTGTACAATGTAGTGATTCAACAGTTCCATGTATCACCCAATGCTCATCGACAAGTGCACTCAATCCCCTTCACCTACTTCCCCCATCTCCCCACCAACCTCCCCTCTGGTAACCATCAGTTTGTTCTCTATAGTTAAGAGTCTGTTTAGGGGCACCTGGGTGGCTCAGTGGGTTAAACGTCTGACTTCCGTTCAGGTCAGGATCTCATGGTTCCTGAGTTCGAGCCCCGTGTCAGGCTCTGTGCTGACAGCTCGGAGCCTGGAGCCTGATTCAGATTCTGTGTCTCCCTCTCTCTGCCCCTCCCCCACTCATGCTCGCTCTCGCTCTCCTCTCTCTCTCTCTCTCCCTCAAAATTAAACATTTAAAAAAATTAAAGGGGTGCGCCTGGGTGGCTTAGTCAAGCGTCAGACTCTCAGTTTCAGGTCATGACCTCGTGGTTTTGTAAGTTTCAGCTCAGGTCATGACCTCCTGGTTTTCAAAGTTCAACCCCACATCGGCTGTGCACTGATGGTATGGAGCCTGCTTGAGATTCTCTCTCCCTCTCTTTCTCCCTCTCTCTGTCCCTCCCCTACTCACGCTGTCTCTGTCTCTCTCAAAATAAATAAATAAACTTTTAAAAAATTAGAAAAAACTAATTTAAAAAAAAAGCATGGTTTTCAGACTGGAACACTCTTGTCCTAAAGTCTCACACAGCAGTTGTTTTACAAATTAGTATTATTTACATAATTCATATTCCTAATTTACACTATTTTATTTTACTTATTTTGAGAGAGAGAGAGGGAAAGAGAGAAGAGAGAGAATCCCAAGCAGGCTCTATCAGCACAGAACCCCACTCGGGGCTCGATCTCACCAACTGTGAGATCATGACCTGAGCTGAA